CTTCCGGGCCGGTTGACCCGGCCCGAGTCCATCCCTAAGGAGGACGAGAAAAACCAGGAACGGTAAAGGCAAACGTGGAGGGTACATGGGAAAATTCGGTATGAAAGCCAAAGTCGCAATATGGAGAGGTGTTGGTACTTCGTATGACTAAAGTAGGTATGACACAAGTTGGGTCAATGATTTAGCTTAATATTATTTTGGGACAAGGCGACTTATATTGATAATAAAACATTCAGCAAGGGACAAAAGAGATCAAGCGAATACTTCCAACCACCAACACTCGAACCAGCCTGAGAATCAATCATCCTAACCAGAGCAATATGATTCGCTGATCCTATAATGGGTCTATATGAGCCTATCATGGTTAGAGCAAAACCCTCATCACCCCTACCTAATGTAAGAGTCTGACAGAAATAAGCGTACGTGACAAACCAAACAACATAACGTTCGAAGTAAAAACGCAAACAAACCAAAACAAAAATAGAGATAGTCTTCCAAACCCTAGCCGCACAATGCCTCCATGGTAGCGGTTCAGGAGGGGGACAAATCAACATTTCTTCGTCTTCTTTCGCCCAAATGGGATCAGTCGCGGAACGCTCGTCCTCCTCGCCATGGTTCCCTGTGATTGACTGTGAGGAGCACCTCACTCCCGCTCCTTCCTCTGTGATACCAGCCCCAGCGAAAACATTTGCAACGCCTTCCCTATGCAATTCCAGCTCGGTAAACTCATGATTACTTTGAATGAAGAAGCATCGTAAATCGCACAAAAGCCTTGCCAGCAAACTCGGTCCTTGAACCCTTTACGTACTAGCTCTGCAGGATGAAGAGGATGACTCACGTACCTGAGATGCCTTAGACCTCAATGCGCAACCACCTAGAAGTCTAGAACACGCCGGACGTGCCAGAGCCGCCGGAAAAGAAACTAGGGATAAACCCTAGACAGACCGCTGCACAAGATTGCCTCAGTTATTGATTTAGCTTAATACTACGTATTATTTTGGCTAAAGAGTCAAATAGACCCTTGAACAGACTTAAAGTGTTCAATTAGCCCCTTGTATAGGAGGTTCTGCCCGGCCATCGCCAATTGGGGCAGTTCCCAGTCAAATTTTTTGAGCATAATCTTCATTAAGTTTAGTTTACTCATACCAAATTTCAGCTAAAAATTCAACCGGGAAGGCAGTCAAATGTTTTTTTTGAAGATAACTGCAAAGTTAAACAGCGCAGTATATTTCAGAAAACTATTTGACTGCCTTCCCGGTTGAATTTTTTGATGAAATTTGGTATGATTAAACCAGACTTAATGAAGAAGATGCTCAAAAAATTTCATCAAAAAATTCCACCGGGAACCGCCCCAATTAGTGACGGTGTGACACCGCATCCGGATGTACTTGAATTTGAAATTCAATACGTATTTGAATTTTCTATGCGAATATTTTTGTGTGCAAGAACGATATATTTAATTAATGAATGATTAATTAAATTATTTATCGGGCCCATGATACTGAGAGCGGGCTACCAAATATTTAGTTGGGTCATCATAATAATTATAGAAGCCCAATAAAATGCCAACTAAAGTTGAGGAAAATGTTTGGACAACCCAAGTACTATTTTGACCCAACCTGCCAGAAATAACAACAATAATTGGGAGGAGTTTCCTACACCCATTTGGGAGTATTCTACACACTCTAGGCTCTCAAATAATGGGGAGGGGGACAACCAAGAATGGTTGGTGCGGATGAGTGAAAGGGGAGGCCTCTTTGAGACAAAACCTATACCCCCCATGTCATATCCTTCACAATTGTTTTGTGTTGATTGAGAGGAATCTTCCCTCTACCACTCTTGCATTCATTCGGCCAACACAAGGGGGAGAGCTCAAAGAAAAACCAAAGCTCTCACAAAGCTCAAGCTAGGAGAAAGCAAGAGGGAAGGAAAAACCCAACACAAAAGGCTAGGAATTGAGGTAAGAACCCAAAAGGCTTCATTAACTAGTTTTGTATTCATATGATTTTTAAGAAATCATATAGTGGATTAAACCAAGAGTTCTACACATTTAAAAGTGTATAATATTGATATAAAGTGGTGGTATTTAACTTAGAAGAGTTGTGGAATCGATAGGAGTTGAAATCGCCGGAAAACCGCCATTGTTGGGGACTGTTTTCGAGCTGCAGGCCCGAAAGCCGCCCACCTTTTGCCAAAGCCGCCCACCTTTTGTCTGCTGTCCAGAATTTTCACTTTCAATTGGCCTAGAACGGGGATTGATCGAAGGGCTTAGCAAAGGCAACTAGTTGAGCACATCATAAGGTGAGGATGGCTGACTATATTGTTTATAACTAGTGGGTTAATTCATGAGATTACCTAATGTTATAAAAGCATGATTTTAATTAACTAATGTGCCAAGTAAAGTGTCAATTGATCATATTGTTGTATATGAAGAATTGATGCATGATTGATTGGGGTATAAGTAATTGGAGCATGGTTACTTGATATGTTTGAGAAGTTGTTCTAGTTGGTTTAGTGATGAACTAATAAAATGTTTTATTAATCACTATTTAACTATATTGACTTTATGGTTAGTAAAATTAATATAGAATGATGCGAGGATGAGTCATGGCATGGCCGCCATGTTTGTTTAAAAGGGAAAGAGAATTTGAACTAAGAATAACTCGGGTGGTACTAAGTGACTAGTTCGAGGTTATAGTATGAACATTTATAAATTAATCCTAAGTTTAGGATTGTGATGCTTCGTCACTAGGGTATTCAGTTGGGATAGCCTTAGATGATTTAAATGATATAATTATCCTAGGATTGGATTGTTGATATTATTATCCGGGTGGTCTTTATGATACCCGTAATTGATTGTTTGATTGGTAGCAAGGGTCATGGCTCGGCTCTAGTCTAAGGATAGATGCCCGATCACATGAATTTGCTAATAGATAGATGAGGGTCATGAGACGGACGAGTCTAAGGATCGTGCCGGACTGCATGGGCCCACAATAGGATAGATGTAAGGACCATGGCCCTTCTTGGCTCTAGAGAGCGAGTTGGATAGCATGGACTTACAGCGTGATCACGTATAAGGGTGGAATCCGAATCAAAGACCTTGCGAGGCTTTGACAGCGGTAACACATAAGATAGGACCCCGAATGGGCCTTACCTTCCTACGGGAACAGGGTATGAGTCCAGGGGCAGGATGTTGGACTCCGACCGAGTGCTCCATGGAGACTTGGATAGCGGTGACAGGTCCTGTATGAATTATTGCAGGGCAATACGAATTATCGCAGGGCGATACAAATTGTATTTTCAAATTATCGCAGGGCGATACAAATTGTATTTTTGAATTATCGCAGGGCGATACAAATTGTATTTTTAAATTATCGCAGGGCGATACAGATTATATTTTGAATTATCACAGATCGATTTGAATTGTATTATTAAATACAAACGGGGAAATAAAATATTGCATGGCGATGCAAAAGGGTTTTGACAAAATACAAATGGGCCTATGGGCCGACTATTTGACGATATATACTTATGTATGATTTGAAAGGGGTAACTATGGGTTATTTCCTAGTATTATGATAACACCTATGTTGAGGGTCTTAAGGATTGAAACATTAATTATATGCAGTATAGTTGTCATTGTACTTTTCAAATGCTTCAAAGTACTGACCTCCCCTTCACGGGGGAGGCCACCTCACAGTTTTCAGGTAGAAGCTAGAGCTTGCTTCCTGTACCCGTTGCTTCGGGAGTTCTTGGAGAGAAGACGTGGTTCGTGCTTCCTCCGTTCTGTTTTCAAAACAATTACAATGATGCTCATGGATAATATTTTCTAATAAATTATTGAGGGCTTGTATGCCCAAGTTTGCCAAGTGTGGCTTGAACACTTGTAATATTGTTTCCGCTGCTTTAATGAATATTTTACATTATGTTTGTTTATGGATGTACTATGTGTGAATGATATTCCAGACGCCTTGTATAGTACGGATGTGTTAGACTGCGGTTGACTATTCATACTGTACGGCGGATTGTTGACGTGTCCGGGTAGGTCCGGGGCGTGACAATTAAGTTGGTATCAGAGCCTTAGTCCGTAAACTTCATAATGAAGCTTCAAAATTTCGTTTTAAAAAATGAATTTGAAAACCATGAGCATAAGAAGTTTTGTACTTAAAGAACTTTTGGTATTCGAGTTGCAATGTCTCTAATTGTTAAGATGGCGCCCTTAACAATTGGTATGGCGGTGACTTGACCCATGAGATGTCTTAAGTACCTATCTGTCAATTGACAATTGATACGAGTCTAACGACTCATTCTAAACATTTCTTTCAGAAATGGGAGGTGGAAGCATTTTGAATAGGATGGACTCGGAATGGGTTGCACCGGGTGGAACCGGGCATGCCAACCTAGAAGAGTCTTTAGTACCAAGAGGTCAAGATACTCAAGGTGCTCAAATTGTGGGTGATCATTATGTTGAGACCAGGGAGGAGTCGCCGTTTCAAGGTGAAACTGAACCACTCGAGGTTTCGAGTGGGGAAAGCAATGACTACAACGATGATGGCTTGGGCAACAAGTCTATAGAACAAATGGACATAATCATAGATTTGCTTCAACGTGAACGTGTGAGGCTTTTACAGAAACGCCAAGAAAGGCAAGAAAAAAGGGGACCGATGGGAAGGAAAACGATGCGGGGGAACAATGACCCCCAAGGGCATTCTAAGAGAAGAAATATTGAGGGTGACAAAACCTTCGGGGGACCTGCACCACCACCAAAGTGGAATAATAGCTTTAAAGGTCAAGAAGTGAGGCCTCAGGGCTCTAGGGTCCGGAAATGCCACAATTGCAACAAGTATCACTTTGGAGAGTGCCTCGAACCAAGGAGATGTTATCTTTGTAAGGATAGCGGACACATTAAGTTCCATTGCCCTCAACGAATACGTGGAAGGGTAATGGAGAAGAAGAACTACGTTGGGGGAAATCATGAATTCTCTCAAGGTTACCCATACTGGGAGGTGGAACATATGAAGATAGCGTGTCCACAACTCGGACAAAACTCGAGGTCACGAACCTCGGCGAAACATAGATGCAATAATTGCAAGAAAAACCACATGGGTAGGTGTTGGGATCCTCCTAAATGTTACCAATGTGGGGAGGCGGGGCATATGAAGGTGGCATGCCCCCAACTCGGGCGAAGACGAGCCACAAGGGTTGATGGTGGAACCTCGGGAGGCAAAGGCCAAGCAAGAACATCTCATTCAAGCACGGGAGATGGAGGGATTATGAAAGGCAAGTCATCCTTCGTGATCGAGGGAGAAACTCAAGAATCGGTCAGTCCAATTGCATCGGTAGATGCTCGGGAAGAAACCCAACCCTATTGAAGGTAATCCTTCATAAACTCTTAATATTAATTCTTATGTAAACAATAGGAGCCTTGTGAATGTCTAAATTTTTTAACCCCAACCAACCGAGTCTGTTTTGGATTAAGAAGGAGGGACATATACCCGTCTTGAGCGAACACCGCCCGACGTTCACTAAGGGCCGCCCGACTTACGAAATGGAATTAATCAATATATACTACGGCGGAGAATGTCGGCCGGTAGTTGTGAAGCCCGGCCGGCTTACGGGAAGAATTCTTGTGGGACGTAAGTAGCTCACGAAAGCCGCCCGGCGGTGGCAAAAGCCGCCCGGCTTTCGAAATTGAGTTTTTGAATAAATTCTACGGCGACAAACGTCACCCGACTTTCGTGAATCCCGGCCGGCATGTGTTTAGAGAATTAAATTGGAATTTCCTACGGCGCTGAACGTCGGCCGGCATGTGTGCAACCCGGCCGGCATACGGTGATGAGTCCTTGTGGGAAGGAGGTTGGTCGCAAAAGTCGTCCGAGCTTCGATAAAGCCGCCCGGCTTTTGTAATTTAATTTTGGAATAAATCTACGGCGCTGGATACCGGCCGGCTTTCGTTGAAACCGGCCAGCGTTTGTTTTGTGGGCAAAATCCTTCGCGGCCGGAAACCGGCCGGCCTTTGCGAAGAGCGGCCGGCGTTTGGGATGTAATTAATGGGAAATTCCACGGCGCTGAAAGCCGCCCGACTATCGTAAACAGCGCCCAGCTTTCGTAGCGACCAGTTCTGAGATGTTGGCCAATGGACGGAGACCGGCCGGCTTTGGTTAAAAGCGGCCGGCTTTCACCTTGTTGTACGCGGCGTTGCTTTTAAGAGCAAGAACTGGTCGGGTCGCGATGGAGCGTGGGACTACTACCATCTACACCCTAGTAGGTGTACCCTACGACTTATGAAACAGGCCTATTGGGTAGGGAATGTACCTTACGTCGATTACAAATGTGGGAACACTAAAGATTGGGAAGAAGACGCGAAAATATTTATCAAGACTAAAGCATAACGATGAATAGTGAATGAGGTTTTTGACGAGGGTAGCAAGCGTACCTTCGATGTTGAGGTTATAAAACGATTTATTCCCACACTATTATAGAACGAATCTAAGACAAGATCTTTATGTGTTTCTTTTGGTACATGGGAGTATGTGGAGAATGCTTAGTGTGATCTCATATCATGACACATGAATGAGCTAAGGACTATCCTTGAAAGGGATTAGACGTAAAAGCATCATGCTAGGGTGACTTCCACGCAAACATGTTGGAAGGTTAATGATAAACTAAGAATCAAATTGTGATCAATATTAGGATACGAATGGTCGGATCAAGCCACTCCCCGGGGAGAGTAGTGGTTCAAATTGCATAAACGGTGGATGAGGAATCCTGGAGTTGTATGATTTCCCAGAAAGGGGAAAGGTCACAATCAAGGGAATATATCCTTATAGGGTATTGATGACGTGATCGACCGCCTAAAGAAGCAATGACATTATCGAAATGGACCTATGACTAGATTGTAGTTATCTAACATTTGGAGGGGTGACATGCCTAGGAGTGATTTATGCACTCGGTACGGGCACTACATGTAATTGGGGGTGTATTTGTTACTGAAGTACTACTACTTAAAACCATCTCGGAGTGCTGGAAGCCCAAGGAGGTGAACGAGACTAGTACGTAGTTTCATTTGATACGACGGACACTATTAGAAGTTGGTGAATGAGTCCTCTATGCTGGAATCACCGTTAGCGTAACTTACTCAGGTGGGGTTAAGTTGCAGGGAGGTGACCCTTATGAGGATGAATTCATGGAATCAAAGAAAAGACTTGCTCAAGCACCAATACCTGTCTTATCCATTCGTGGGTTAGTGTACGGTGTCTAAAGTTAGACAAACATCTCAGGGAAGATGATTGCACGTGTTTCACTTCTGTGGAAAAAAAAATAAATAAATTGCCCTACTCTTGATTTATGATAGGGGGCTCTAGTAAAGGCACTAAAGAAATGAAAGACTAACTTTACATGGAGATGTGTCATATATAAACCAGCTATAAAAGCTTGAGGTAGGTGCTCACTCCAAAAGAGCTGAACATTTGATCGACTAAGATGATGGATAAAGAGGTTGAAAGACATGTATGTTAAATTTCGCATTGTAAGACATAGGGTGGTACGTATTGTACATGTATGATAAATTTCGTAACAGATGCCCTATACAAAAGAACCTGACGAGCTACTACTCAATAATGTAATAACTATTAGCACCCACATAGAAGTGGAGAGAGATTGAGTGGCGAGTTTGGGATGAGAACCTTCTCAGCAGTTGAAATCAGGAAGGATCGAACACATGGTGAAGTTTTCAGGGAAGACGATGGTCTCTTGTGGTTTTGCAATCAAGTTGTGTAGCGTCAGATGGTGAGCGTTGAAAGATCATTTCAAGAGCTCATTGATCAACACATGTCATACACTGTCAAGGTTCGATGTGTATGGAGATTGTGATGAACGACGTTGTTAGGGTGGATACCTTACTTGCCAGCAAGTTAAGGTAGTACACTAACACTTGGGTATGTTGTTGCATCCACCTTGCATTCATGAGTTGTAGTATTAACCATTTGTTACAGATTTTGTGGCACGACCACCATGATGGTGATGGGTTATGGTTGATGAACTGAATGATGATGATGACAATTAAGTTGGTATGAGGCCGACATTAAGCACTCATGGAGTTGCAAAAAGAAAAAAAGAAAGGTGATTGTTACTAGATTTGTATCTGCATGCCTCCATACAAGAGTTTTATGGATGAAGGTGCTGGAAACCTATACCCCAAGTTGAGTTTGGGACAACCGACCTCGGAGGTACAAGAGTAGTAGAGTCTAATAAGGAAGACATGGCATCGGTTTAAATGGGACCAAAGTTTTGTTTAAAGTAAATGAGAGATTTGTGCCAAAGAAGGACTAAGAACTATAAAGCTGAAGTCAAAGGTAAGATGTTTTGAAATTTTAACATCCTAGGAACTGTTGTATCCTTGTGTAAGGGTGAATGAGATCTACACTGCATCGGGCTAGCTGAAATTCTAGAAAGAATGGATGCCATATTATACCAACCATGATTGACTCCAGAATTGGAAATGATACTATATGGAGTTCTTTACATCAATGCTTAAAGAGCATGTTCAAAATTCATCTCGTGTCATGGAGACACCATTAGTGCAGAAGAGTGGATAATGGGAACTATGTTGGACAACCAACAATGATATTGGATAAACAAGTGAGAAAATTGAGAAGCATGGGGGTTTCCAATGGTTAAGACTTTGGTTATGAATTTGAGTCGAAGTGGAGGCTCAGGAAATTATGGTTCTAAGAATAGAGCACTACTTCGTATGCTTTTGAGTATCGTTGCGAATTTCGGGGACGAAATTCCCGTTAAGGGGGGGTGAACTTGTGACACCGCATCCAGATGTACTTGAATTTGAAATTCAATACGTATTTGAATTTTCTATGCGAATATTTTTGTGTGCAAGAACGATATATTTAATTAATGAATGATTAATTAAATTATTTATCGGGCCCATGATACTGAGAGCGGGCTACCAAATATTTAGTTGGGTCATCATAATAATTATAGAAGCCCAATAAAATGCCAACTAAAGTTGAGGAAAATGTTTGGACAACCCAAGTACTATTTTGACCCAACCTGCCAGAAATAACAACAATAATTGGGAGGAGTTTCCTACACCCATTTGGGAGTATTCTACACACTCTAGGCTCTCAAATAATGGGGAGGGGGACAACCAAGAATGGTTGGTGCGGATGAGTGAAAGGGGAGGCCTCTTTGAGACAAAACCTATACCCCCCATGTCATATCCTTCACAATTGTTTTGTGTTGATTGAGAGGAATCTTCCCTCTACCACTCTTGCATTCATTCGGCCAACACAAGGGGGAGAGCTCAAAGAAAAACCAAAGCTCTCACAAAGCTCAAGCTAGGAGAAAGCAAGAGGGAAGGAAAAACCCAACACAAAAGGCTAGGAATTGAGGTAAGAACCCAAAAGGCTTCATTAACTAGTTTTGTATTCATATGATTTTTAAGAAATCATATAGTGGATTAAACCAAGAGTTCTACACATTTAAAAGTGTATAATATTGATATAAAGTGGTGGTATTTAACTTAGAAGAGTTGTGGAATCGATAGGAGTTGAAATCGCCGGAAAACCGCCATTGTTGGGGACTGTTTTCGAGCTGCAGGCCCGAAAGCCGCCCACCTTTTGCCAAAGCCGCCCACCTTTTGTCTGCTGTCCAGAATTTTCACTTTCAATTGGCCTAGAACGGGGATTGATCGAAGGGCTTAGCAAAGGCAACTAGTTGAGCACATCATAAGGTGAGGATGGCTGACTATATTGTTTATAACTAGTGGGTTAATTCATGAGATTACCTAATGTTATAAAAGCATGATTTTAATTAACTAATGTGCCAAGTAAAGTGTCAATTGATCATATTGTTGTATATGAAGAATTGATGCATGATTGATTGGGGTATAAGTAATTGGAGCATGGTTACTTGATATGTTTGAGAAGTTGTTCTAGTTGGTTTAGTGATGAACTAATAAAATGTTTTATTAATCACTATTTAACTATATTGACTTTATGGTTAGTAAAATTAATATAGAATGATGCGAGGATGAGTCATGGCATGGCCGCCATGTTTGTTTAAAAGGGAAAGAGAATTTGAACTAAGAATAACTCGGGTGGTACTAAGTGACTAGTTCGAGGTTATAGTATGAACATTTATAAATTAATCCTAAGTTTAGGATTGTGATGCTTCGTCACTAGGGTATTCAGTTGGGATAGCCTTAGATGATTTAAATGATATAATTATCCTAGGATTGGATTGTTGATATTATTATCCGGGTGGTCTTTATGATACCCGTAATTGATTGTTTGATTGGTAGCAAGGGTCATGGCTCGGCTCTAGTCTAAGGATAGATGCCCGATCACATGAATTTGCTAATAGATAGATGAGGGTCATGAGACGGACGAGTCTAAGGATCGTGCCGGACTGCATGGGCCCACAATAGGATAGATGTAAGGACCATGGCCCTTCTTGGCTCTAGAGAGCGAGTTGGATAGCATGGACTTACAGCGTGATCACGTATAAGGGTGGAATCCGAATCAAAGACCTTGCGAGGCTTTGACAGCGGTAACACATAAGATAGGACCCCGAATGGGCCTTACCTTCCTACGGGAACAGGGTATGAGTCCAGGGGCAGGATGCTGGACTCCGACCGAGTGCTCCATGGAGACTTGGATAGCGGTGACAGGTCCTGTATGAATTATTGCAGGGCAATACGAATTATCGCAGGGCGATACAAATTGTATTTTCAAATTATCGCAGGGCGATACAAATTGTATTTTTGAATTATCGCAGGGTGATTACCGCTTTCGCGGCGTTGTAGTAAAACGGAGTCTAACCTTTCGGTTTTTCCCCGAGTATCGTGTCTCTCGAGGAATGGCGGAGGAGCTTCTTGATTTTAAGTCCAGTCACAGGTTATCGCAAATTATTGCAAGCTTTCCAAATTAAAACTTTTGATTGATTTTCTAAACTACTTTTTGGAAAAGAAAGTAAATTAAATTGTGCAAATACTAATGATGGCTCAAAAATAAACTAAAGGAAAAAATATAATATTAAACTTAAATGGATTGATGCAAATAAGGGCAATGAATCGAGTAATTAGAAATGAATATATTCTTGGACCTAGTAATTAGGGAAATTAAAACTAAAATTGGACTAATAATTTCTTTCCTCATAGACAAGTATAGAAACTATTTTCATTAATTTATCCTATTTCTAGGTGTCATTAATGTGTTAAAAATGGTTGGCTTGAATTAAATTCTAACCTCATAGACAAGGTAGAAATAATTCTCCAATATTTTAATTAATAAAAATAGCCAAATTCATTAACTAGTTAAACTCATTATTTAAGCAATTGAATTTATCTCTCATAGACAAGATGTAAATCCATTTCATTAAATTATCCTATTTCTAGGCCTTATTAATGTGCTCGAATATGGTTGGCTTAAATTATTTTCTAATCTCATAGACAAGTTAGAAATAATTTTCCAAGAATTTAATTAATGAATATGGCTAACAGTTATTAATTACTATTTCATCATTTCAAACAACTAGTCCAAATTATTGATTTTAATCCCTAATTTTCGGTCAACAAGTCAATCCATATTCCTTTAGTCAATTCATGCCCAAAACAAATTTAGCTAATAAACATCATTTTTTCAATTAACAATATAAAGAATATATTCAACATTAACAAGGAATTACACATGGATGATGGCAAAACGTATATTCTGGAACAATAAACTTATAGGAACTAAAATATAATTTTATGGAATTTTTCCCGAATTTTATAACCTAAAATCCAATTTTAACAACTAATTGATAATTTTCCCAATATTAACTAGAGAATACAAAAAAAAGCAACTACAAATATTCTAAATTCGTTCTAAATTTTATATTGACTGCTAGGAGTGATATTACTGTGAATTAAAGTGGAATTAGGACAAAAACTAATTTTTTGCCTTTTTTGAGTATTTAATTTAATTTATGCAATAATAACAACTAAATGCCGGAATTTATTAAAATTTACTTCTACTTCGTAAAAATTAACTTTGTTCTGATAAATAACTACCTTGAGGCTAGTAAACAACTATATAATTAATTGGAATGGATTTAATGTCAACAACTATTTTATTCAAATTTAAGAAGAAAATGCGAAATAGTGGAATAATTTTCTGGAAATTTTTGAAGCATAGATAGAAAAAACTAAGTACAGATTCAGATTCTACTCATTGAAAAGATGAAAATATATATAAAGAACTCACAATTTGGAGCTAAAATGAGAAAGATATGAAAGATTGAAGTTGAAGGTGCAACAATGGTGGAAATCCGAGCTTTGAGGAGGAAGAAGACGCCCTTTTTGATCTGATTTGGGCTTGAAATTGGTGTATTTGAGTTGAGGAAAAAGCCTGGATTTTATAGCCGAAAAATTCCCGTAGGCGCCCGGGCAGGCGGCCGCCTTCCGGCAGCCTCTGGCCGCCTGCCGTCCTGTCGCCGGCAGACCGTCGGTGGCGGTCCCGTCAGCCGTAGGCGGCCACAGAGGGCGGCCGCCTTCTGTCAAAAATGGCCGCCTGCCATCTTTTCGTTGGCAGATCGGATCCCGACGGATCCTGGCGGACCCCGGCCGCCGCAGGCGGTCCAGCAGGCGGCCGCCTGCCGTCCTGTCTGGCCGCCTGCCGTCTTGTCTGGCCGATCGGTGGTTGGTTTCGTCCCCTTGTGCCGTAGGCGGCCACCGTAGGCGGCCGCCTTCTGTCCAGTGTCGGCAGCCTTCGGTCTTTTCCTGGTCCCGAGTCAAAGCGAGGTTGACTTCTGAATTTTCCCGTAGGCGGCCGCGAAGGCCTCCATTTTGGGCGCCTATTTGGGCGCCTTCGGCCACTTTTGTCTGGCAGATGCGGCTTTTCTTGCTCTTCAACTTTGTCTTCTGAATCACCTTGATAAAATGCTTGCTTCTTCCGGTATAAATGCATTTGTCACTCAAATTGACTCATTTTGTGCTCAATTGACCCGAAATCCCGCTAAACATATTATGGATGTGATTTTTACCTGATTTCATGAAACTTGAACCAAAATATATAAAATGTGTCTTTTCTTTCTATTTTCATTCAAAAATCGCTTAAATTTGATAAGAAAAATAAGTACAAAAATGGACTTATCACAGGGCGATACAAATTGTATTTTTAAATTATCGCAGGGCGATACAGATTATATTTTGAATTATCACAGATCGATTTGAATTGTATTATTAAATACAAACGGGGAAATAAAATATCGCATGGCGATGCAAAAGGGTTTTGACAAAATACAAATGGGCCTATGGGCCGACTATTTGACGATATATACTTATGTATGATTTGAAAGGGGTAACTATGGGTTATTTCCTAGTATTATGATAACACCTATGTTGAGGGTCTTAAGGATTGAAACATTAATTATATGCAGTATAGTTGTCATTGTACTTTTCAAATGCTTCAAAGTACTGACCTCCCCTTCACGGGGGAGGCCACCTCACAGTTTTCAGGTAGAAGCTAGAGCTTGCTTCCTGTACCCGTTGCTTCGGGAGTTCTTGGAGAGAAGACGTGGTTCGTGCTTCCTCCGTTCTGTTTTCAAAACAATTACAATGATGCTCATGGATAATATTTTCTAATAAATTATTGAGGGCTTGTATGCCCAAGTTTGCCAAGTGTGGCTTGAACACTTGTAATATTGTTTCCGCTGCTTTAATGAATATTTTACATTATGTTTGTTTATGGATGTACTATGTGTGAATGATATTCCAGACGCCTTGTATAGTACGGATGTGTTAGACTGCGGTTGACTATTCATACTGTACGGCGGATTGTTGACGTGTCCGGGTAGGTCCGGGGCGTGACAGACGGCCAGACAGAACCTCCTATATAAGGGGCTAATTGAACACTTTAAGTCAGTTCAAGGGCCTATTTGACCCTTTAGCCTATTATTTTTGGCTTTTACATTTATTTTGTACTCCGTATTAAATTCAAATATATCGCTTACAAATTGTTTTTTGGCCTTTTATGCTTAGCCGTCAAGGCGTCAACTCCAACAAGTCTTGCTATATTTTGTTTAAAATAATCATTTCTTTTTAGGGTCTCTAATTATACTAGATTTTCACCCGTGCTTCGCACGGGATGCAGGTAGTAAGCAATAAAAAAATTGAGAACATAAAGAAATGTTGTGATAAACAGAGATGAATGTATATATTGTTTGTAACAAAAGTAAATAAATACAAAAAAAATACAAATTATTATATACTTCCTTATAAACCACATTTGAAGTCTTCTTGGCCGGTTTTCCATCATCATCACATATAACAAACTTCAACCCAGACGGGGACGTCACTTTGAATCTCTTTCTGATGGAATCTTATGAATTGCAATCGATATGACTCGATCATTGTATATCCATCAACCGCACAGTACTGCTGAAACAACCTTTGACATCTCAATAGATATGGGGTTTCACCTTGGCGTTCCTGCAACCTGTATGAAAAAAAATCTTTCATTGTAGCAAATTTTCTCCCTCTGTTGCTATTGATATCCCCTATTGCACGCGTCAACCGAACGTCTTCTCTAAAACCATCTTGACCGTAAGGAAATAGTAGTGTGTATTGTAAGCCTAAAAACAAAGAGTTCAGTTTAGTCACAAACTGAAATGCCCCAGATTTTGGTTGCAGGACAATATCTCTCTCTTTTCTATTCACGTCAAAGTCCCCCTCAATTAAAGCCGTTACTTCAGAAACGCTTGGAGCATTATACGTGCGTCCCTCTGAACTCCGTTTCATAATAAGTCTCATTTTCAACGTCGTGGAGTTTGACGCATTAAATCTATCCCTTGCCATCCTAAATAACTGTGCATGAACATTGTACATGTCGAGCATATGTGTCAACTCCAACACCAATGCATCATGCAATTTTGTACCACCCTCACTCCTGTATTTGCAGGAACAAAGTAGATATTTTCATAAGAGATTAGCATTAATTATAAGTTTAACCATATAAAGCTTGTCATAATAAATAAATAAATAAATAAATAATAAATAAATAAATAGATAAATAAATAGATAAATAGATAGATAAATAAATAAATAAATAAATAAATAAATAAATAAATAAAAATCATGGAACCGTCTTATTATTTATATAAAAATCTTTATGAAATTTTGAAATTAAAAATAGTATTTCTAAATGGGTAAAAATAACTATTCTAATTATTTAAGTAGACATCATCAGATGAAATTAGCATTATGTAATAACTCCATTCTTAAATAATTGCAACATGTTGAATTTTTACACTATTAACATGATCTACTTTGACTACGTTTTATTTATTCATGCATTAATATATATTCTTGAAAAAAAATTGTTAAATTTGTGTAATCGTGATTTTTCAAAATATAATTTTTTAATTTTTTTACTAATAGAGAATTATTATAATAGTCAAAGTTGTGTCTCGGCAAATGTGAAATGTTGACCGTTGCATTTAATTACGAACGGAGGATGTATAAGTTTAATCATATAAAGCTTGTCACTAAAAAAAATTAAAAAATCATGGAACCAACTTATTATTTATTTATAAAATTGTGAAATTTTGTAGTTATCAATAATATAACTAAATGGGTAAAAATATTTAATCAATCTATTTACCTGACAGCTTTAAGTCTATTTGAGGTTTCTTCACTTGGATCACATAAGTACATCTGCAAAAATTTGGGTTGACCACCGTCCCTTGGAAGAAGGCTACCAATTCTATGGTAGTTTTGTCCATTTATTCGAAATATTGGTGGCGTTTTCCCTGGATTAATGTCTTTGTCTTGTTTTCCTCCAATAGAAGTGAATGCAAACATTGCATTATATGTGCAGATGTTTTCGAGAAAATGACGGCTACGCTCGTCAGAACCAAATATCAAACTTTTTAAAGGTTCCGGTGGCTCTTTCATTGCAGGCACTCCAGGCAGCACAACATCTTCTTGATTACAACACAAGGAGAATCTTGGTGGTTTTCCTGCAGGACTTTTCTTTACTCTTTCTTCGTACCAAAACAAAGCACCACAAAATTCGCACTCATAAGATGAGTCCCCAAGATCTGCATAGGCTGAAAAGATTGGAATCTAAATTACTACACATAAGTCGCAAACATAGTCATGTGCTTGTTCAAGGATTCAATTGTTGACTCTTTTGTAATATGTTGTATTGCGCATATAGTATAAATATTTTGTTGGAAAATATAGGTATACACGTTCAAACTTGAATAATACCTTCACTTAAAAAACTCGCATATTCAACATCTTCTGTATGTCAAAAACATGGAAAAACGGTGTTAGCATTATGTGAAAATATACATACATACATACATACATACATACATACATACATACATACATACATACATACATACATACATACATACATACATACATACATACATACATACATACATACATACATACATACATACATACATACATACATACATACATACATACATACATACATACATACATACATACATACATACATACATACATACATACATACATACATACATACATACATACATACATACATACATACATACATACATACATACATACATACATACATACATACATACATACATACATACATACATACATACATACATACATACATAGAGAGTGTAAGGTTTATATTGGTTTATGCATGTAATGTTCAATTAAATTTAATGTTGAATTACGAACCATGGAATACAGGTTGCTCATGTGAGGAGGCACCGATAACATCGTTTTGATCGTCCTTTTGGTTGGCTTCTATACAGTTTGGAATTCACAAAATCATTATGCATTTGATTAACATCTATCAATGATGTTTTAATTTACTTAGATCTTAGGAAAATAGGTTAAAAAAAATCTAACCTTCATTAGTAGCATCGCCATTAAAATCCTCCGTGGGATTCTTGTTACTTTCTGGGGGTTCGTCTTGTGATCGAGTAATGCATGTCCCCATAACCGTGTAATCATCAGTTGGCACTATGATATTGCCAATTTGCCATTTATTGTGAACTATTGGAATTATACGTGTAACACTTTCGCGTACAATGCTCTCCTTCTGTTGGACTATTGAACAAAACAATATGATTCAATGCATGATTCTTATAATAATAGAACACATGGAGTAAGGTATTATGCATAATTGCCGTTGGTGAGTTGAGTGTCTAGGTTTTCTCCAACATTTGTTCCTTCTTGAAGAGGATGGTCGTTACTATTCAACGACGGACTTGCAGATTGAAATGCATCTCGTGATCGTTTACCCAATATAGTAGTTGACTTAGTCAACTTCTTCATCTGCTTTATTAATGTCAACATTAATTCAATAGTCTTTAGTTTTTTCATTTTCATATTATTTTTGGACAATTCTAACCTATATAGTATCTGCTCAATGTTAATGCCAACATCCTTGAACTGTGATGGGATTCGAACCTGTGACCTCCTCTTTGGGAGTGCCACAGCGATGCCATCAGACCACAAGGTACTTGGCTTCATTTTCATATTTAAGAATATAAAACAGAATGTTTATCACAATTAGGAGGAATGAATTAAAAATAAAAAGTAATAGAATTAGACATAGATGCACATTAATGTAAGAAAATATGTTGAAAGGTTTGATTTTACACAAATTGATAATTGTTATCATACAAAATAAAAATTGTTTTCTTCTTTTTTCAATTTGAAATTATAAAGTATATTATTTATCGCTATCAGGTACCACGGGTTTTAAATTAATAAGACAAAGAACCTGAGTTAGAAGTACAAAAAATGTGAGAAATATTTAAAGAAATTATTTTCAATTAAATCTGTATACTGAAACAATAAAGGGAAAATGGAAACTAATAATCCAACCTTTTAGCACTCTTCTTACAATAGTCTCACCTTTTCGTTATTCATGAATAATCCAACCTTTGCACCTCATCTTCATTCACTGGTCCCTGACCGGTTGATGACCTGCCACTCCAAGTTATTTTCTTATCTTTGCAAACCATTATACCATAAATCTCACCTTTCACAAAGATAATATTTTGCAAAGATAAGAAAATAACTTGGAATAGCAGGTCATTAACCGATCAGGGACCAACAAATGAAGATGGGGTGCAAAGGTTGGATTATTCTTGAATAACGAAAAGGTGAGACTATTGTAAGAAGACTACTAAAATGTTGGATTATTAGTTTCCATTTTCCCAACAATAAATAGCTAATCTCCATTCGTTCTTCTAAAATTATTGGCTATACTTATTTTGTAATCTATTTGTGTATATAAATTCCAAACTATTGGTAGAATGTTTGTTCCCAGTAATGAAACATTTAAAGCATGTATTAGGGTCTTTCATTAATAAAAAGTGGGCTACTGCAATGTCCATCACAGTGACAAACAAATACAGAGTCAAAGTCACACAATAATATGTTACTATCTATGGAGACAGCAGTAAGACTTGGTAGCAAAAGAAATTATGTGCGTATTCAAATACGCTTCATTTTAGGACTTCGATCCATGACCATGAAAGTAGTGCCGTTGATGAATATTAAAAATATTAAATTTGCTAATCACTATTCAAATGGAAAATTTGACATGCACTTCAAGTAATATTGATTTATGATGGGATAAAATAAATTTTGCCGATAATATGTGCGCTTATATATTACTCTGGAACATATACGAAGTAAATTTTATATATTCATAAACTATGCTAAAAGTCATACGGAGTATCGAAGAAGAGTACGTAACAAATTTATATACGGAGTAAAATAGTCGTATGGGAGAATAAAAAAAAAATGAAAATCTGAAATTCAGACTTGGGAGTACTATATGTTCTTACCGTAGAAACGGCGAGTCTTGGATTCAGTCATGAAATTGGTAGCTCGTGCATTGGAATCATACGTATGTTTGTTGTCGATTGATAATTGTATTACTTACCGTCCATACATACTTCCTGCACGTAATATATAATTCCACCAAATAATATGTTGATGTTGAAATTCCATTTTATTTATTCTTTAATACTTTAATTATTAATTTCTCAATTTCATGATCAAAAAAATAATCTCTCAATTTCATTCAGTTACGGTTTTATTTTTTTTAAATAGGGCAAGTTTAAAATGAATTGATTACCTAATAGAGAGAATGTCTCTATTGTTCGGCTCACTTATTGATTACTAAATAGAGAGAATGTCTCTATTGTTCGGCTCACTTTTTTAGCTATTGATTTCAATTGTCAAATCTGGAACGTTATACTATATAGCAGCTCCCATAAAGGTAGCCTTAAAATTTAAAAGAAAAAGTCAATATTCGAAAACATCAAAGTAGGTTAAAAATAGGAAAGCTACTTTCTAGAGAAACTACTATCTAACGATAACATCAGCAGCATAGTTTTAAAGTAAATCCTAATTAATGTTAATAGCAACAACAATGTTGAAATAACAATCTGATGAAATAGTCATACTTGAAAAACAAAATACTCGAAACGCATAACAATTCAGAACAATGGAGTTGAGCTTCTTAGTAGCTAAACTTAAAACGAATAACAAACCCCTAAAGTGAAATAAAAATTTAAAAGTGGATAATAATTTATGGCTTCTCTATCTTGACCGATTTGAGCTTCTTAGTAGCTGAACCTCGAGTAAGTGGAGTAGATGCACCAACATCAAGTTCACAATCAATATCATCTTCAGAAGGTCGCTTAGACAATGATTGTGGAGTACTCACGACCTCTCAAAATCCTTGGAGATATGTGTCTACATTAACAGAACAATAAAAACTATGATTCCATTTTTTTACTAATGAATGAAATTGAAAAACAATCCTACATAACGTTTCTCGTTAACGTAGAAAGGCAAAACAGATCGCACAAACAGGAAAGAAAACAAAACGGGCCTCCACTTTTTAAGAAGAAACAACATAATTGTAAGCAAACTAATCTAAATACTATAGTACCAAAAGACTCTCTACCATACCGAAAACTTGATTTAATCTGAGACTATAATGAAAGAAGAACAGAACTTTACATTGCCATTGGTGTGAAGAAAAGTGAAAAAATCACTAATTAAAAAAACTGGTGTGCGGAAAGTTGGGAGGAATTTGAAGGGAAAAAAAGAGCAATCTCGAAATCAACCTCACATAAGGTTTTTGAACAAAAAAGTAGTTGACATCAGGAGTGTTTCAATTTCCCCATTTTTTATCCATAACTAATCATCCTGAGAGCAAGGAAGATACTAATGCAAATATTTCGATGGTGTTATCATTATTGGTGTGCAATAGAAATGGGGATTTTCATTACTGTCATCATAATATAAAATACAAAACAAACTCTAAAGAAATTAATACTCTATAAATGAATCAAACCACACTCTTTAAAACCACACTCCTAAAATTAGACTGCAGGAGAAATTGTAAACCCTAGGTTAAATATAAATAGTGAATAAGGTTTCAGATTAATTGATTTTGAATCTTCTATTTGCATATAACAGGCTGATAAATTCCAAACTTAAGACACTTTTTTATTTAAGCAATTGATTAACAAAACATCATCCGAATCACATGAAATCTGCTAGAAGATTTAAGATGCTTTCTAAACTCTTTAAATTTCAGATTTTTGATGTTCTTCAAAACAAATATATGAAAATGAAAGTTATACCAAGTTTGATTCCACAGGAATGAAATTGAAAAACAGAAGTATAAAACACTTAAGGTATAAACACAAATAAGTGTATTGCTTGAATACACTTGTGGATGAAACAGTATGGATCCAAATTGAAAGCAAATTCAAACACAAAATCATATAAAAGTCAATAAAACGATCAATTGATCTGATCATAATTCCAAACAATGTTAATTTACCTACTTTGTTTATTCATGTTCTTTGGATTTTCCCTACTTTTTTTATTACTAATCATCATTCTAAGTCTGATTTTCAGTTTTTATTTTTTGAATTTCCCGGTATTTCTCTATGCGTAAGTTACTCGCTTTCTTCTGATTTAGTATGCCAGATCTGACTTAAGAGGACTTGAATGTATTCCAAGTAAATAAATGACCAATTGGGATCTGAAATTTTCACTTGGATATTAAAACATACCAAATTTGATTCAACTGGAGTTGGAGCATCATCATCCAGCAAATCCAGATCGTAATCAGAATTGTACCCCTCTTCCTGCACACAGTTTATGATTTTAGGTTAAGAGGTTTAATCAATTGTGTAAGAGGATCTACAGATAAGATAAATTAATATCGATCTCTGAGAGGGTTACCTCTGACTCCGAGTTTTCATCAAAAGATGATTTGATCTCATTTATTTTGTCCATATTATCTGATGACCCCCCTAAGTAATACACTTTGCCATGAACAGATGGTGGAGCTTCACGATCTATCTTAAATATAAACTCCTTACCCCTCCTTGCCGGTCACCTGTTTATAGTTTTCCTAATATGAGTGATATCTATGCACTTTTTTAATTCTTAACTATATGGATCCACATGTTTAAGCAGGCAGGTTATAAAATTCACATACTTAAGAAGTCAAGAAAGGATTTTCATTCAGGTCATCACAGTCACTTTAGTAAATACGGGGTATTAAAATACAATTAAAGAGTCATTGCAAGAATCATCACAGTCACTTTATTGATAAAATATGGTGAAGATGCATTTAAAATTTGGCATTCTTGTGTCTGATAGTTATCGTAGTAATTTTCTGATCATTATTTCAACTTTGATTGCTAATTTCTCTCAATAACAAATAAAGTTCTTCAACTATTGTAAAGGAGTATAAGACAGAGTAAAAAAGCAACTCAATAGGTCTGAATTGATTTGGGGCATAAATATGCACAAAATCACGTAATCCTATGTCTAATGTGATAGTGGACATGTGGTGTTATGGGAGGAAAGTTCCAACTTCACAAACTAACAGTATTGATTAGGCATTCAGTTCTTTGATAACAAATGCATTGGATATAGGATTATTGAATTTGACTAATTGATAATCCAATACCTTAGCTTATGAGTCATTGACTCCCAATGTACTTTATATAATACGTGATGGAGTATATGGCCCAGGAACCCCCGGCCCATAGACTCCTACTTCTCCTACACAAGTTCATTGAGCCCAGGGAACAACTCAGGCCCAAAATGCAGCGGCCCAAGCCTCAACGTGGCCCAGAATACACACTGGGGTGCCTTCGGCCTCCTTGGCCGAAGGCCCCAAACCTCACAGAGTAGCCTTCTCTGGCATAAGAGGCTACTGGGAGAAAACGGCGAAAAACATGAGCCTTCGGCATTATCGAGCCCTCGGCATCAGAGAAGCCCCCGGCTAAACCATGCCTCCGGTCACACAGGGCCTTCGGCTACACAGGGATCCTTGGCTACATGGAGCCCTCGACAACACAAGGAGCCCTCGGCTGAGCACACTCAATCATCGGAGATTCCTTTTAGAGACAGCCAACCACCGCATTTAATGCCACGTCACATCCGCCAACCGCATTCAATGCGGTAAACGTACCACTGCCGGTGCCAACCGGTTGATGTGACCCTTCGGCCGTTGGATTACTGACACGTGTCCTCTCATCGCATTTATTGCTTCTATAAATAGCAGCCCATTTCTCCTTGTAAATCATCATCTACACCTCAACTCCACACGCTGAGTTCATTTAATAAAATCGACTCTCTCTCCTCCTATTTGCTCTGACTTCTCTCTAAGTTATTTCCGCAATAACCCCTCGGATAAGATACCCCCCGGGTAGACTTTCCATCATTTGGTGCTCTCGTTGAGAGGTCTGAACTATCAAGTAAGAAACCCTCCCCCTCTACCAAATACAAAACACTTACCAAAAATGGGAAGAACCACTCGTGCCCAATCCAAAACCCTAGAAGAGAACCACGCAGCCCCCGGCGAAACCAACGGGGCCGAGGCCTCCAACAGGCTCTTGGTACCCGAGGGTGGTATCATCCTCGAATTGGAGCAGGCTACTGCTGACCTCCGGCAGCAGCTACAGAAGAACGCCCCTGATGCCCGCATTGGCCTTGATAATCGAAGGAGGGATCGGAGTGAGAACCAAGTTCCCCCTCCGGCCCCGGCCATCGATCTTCAGGCTGCCTTTGCGGCCTTTGTTCAAAACATGGCTCTCAACTCAGGAGCCCTCGCCTCCCAGGCGCCCCTTCAGCCCCACGCTGGAGGAAATGTTATCCAACTGCCACCACTCCCTCCTTTGTTCAACAATCCTCCCCCGGGGATTGGCAATGCCGAGGGGGTCATAGCGCAGGATACCGCCTCCCAAGAGGCCCAATCCAGGGACAAGCGCCCCATGATGAAAGAGAAACCCCGAACCTCTGTACTTGAAAGGCTTGGGGGAGCTCCCGGGCACCGAGGGGTCCAAGACCGCCTCGGGAAACAAGCATTCAGCAGGCCCCAGGAGAGTGGAGCCTCTGCTTCGGGCGCCGAGGGCGTGCCTCCCCCCCGAAGCAAAGGCAAAGCCCTCCTCCATGCTGATGACGCCAGGCACCAAATCAATCAGGCTCAATCCTTCCGGGCCAATTCCCAAGGGGTTGCCCCGAAGGATCCCAAGGACGAGATCATCGAAGCCCTCCTCCGTTAACTTGAGGAGAATCGTCAGGCTCCCCCGACGGCTTCCACAGCAAGGCCAGACCCAGAGTACGCTGACCTCCGGGCGCAAGTGGAGGAAATGAAGCGTAAGCTCGCCGAAGGCTCCGGCGAGCCCCTCATTCAGCTCCGCACTAGGACGCCTTTCACCCCAAGGGTGCTAGCGGCCAAAATCCCCCACAAGTATCGCGGGCAACCCATCAAACCGTATGAGGGGAAGACAGATCCCCAAGAGCACTATAGCCGCTATCAAAATAGCATGATGATGATGGGGGCCTCGGATGAATACTTATGCCGTTGGTTCCTTTCCACCTTGGAGGGGCCCGCGTATGAGTGGTTCAACCGATTGCCCGAAGGCAGCATTGATTCTTGGCAAGAACTTGCCCACCGCTTCCTTACGCAATTTGCTGGGAGGCATCGCTCAAAGAAGCACTTCTCCCACCTTCTGAACGTGAGACAACAGAAGGAGGAAACCCTTCGGAGTTTCTTAGAACGGTGGAGGCAGGCCTCCCTCGAGGTCGAAGGCGCCGATGACAGAACCCTGATGGCCCTCTTCCACACCGTCCTCCGCAACGGTAACTTCTCCCGGAGCCTTATCACTGATCCCCCCCGCGATTATACGAAGGCCCTTCAGCGGGGGGACCGATATGCTGAAGCGGAGGAAATCGAAAAGGACCGCCGCAACACGGATCCTTCCCAGAAGAATGAAGGCAGGAATCGGCCCGGAGGGCCTCCCCCTCCGGTCAACCGAGAGGCGCAGTACAACGATCGCTCCCGAGGTGGCCAAGCCAGACCCGGGGGCGGTTACAAGAACAATCCGAAGGCATGGGCGCAACCCGTCCTCCTTGAGCATCCACGCACTCCCCTGACGCATCCCGTCAGCGTCATTCTTGATCATGCAGAAGAGCGGGGGCTCGTTGAGCGAGACTCCCGTACACCCCTCGAGATTTATGCCATCGGTCCTGATGAGCCCTACTGCCGCTTCCACCGCCACCATGGACACAAAACCGACGACTGCCATCAGCTGAAGAACGCCATCGAGAGGCTGATACAGGCGGGCCACTTGTCCCAATTTATCAGGGGCCCTCCGCCCCAGGGTCCCCCCCATCATCAAGGCCCTCCGCCGAAGGCAAACAAGTGGGTGAACCCCAACACCATTCCCTTGGGAAACCCGCATGGGAAGAAGCGTGAAATTGGCGGCCTCGAAGACGAGGGAGAGGGCTCCCACCAACAATACAAGCGCCACATCCACATGATTAATGGTGGCAACACTGGTGGAGACTCCACCAGCCAGCGGAAGAAGTGGGCTCAGTCCCTTTACGTTGGGGAGGTCAGCCACGTGCCCCCAACTAAGAGGCCGAGGGGGGAACCCATCTTCTTCACAGACGCGGACCTCCCCTCGGGTTCTCTGCCGCATAGGGATGCCCTCGTCATCCGCACTGAGATCAATGACGCCATCATCCACCGGACTTATGTCGACACGGGGAGTTCTGTCAACGTCATGTATCTTAGTACTTTTCAAGAGTTGGGACTCGACAGGGGGTCCCTTCGGCACATAAACACCCCCCTCTCCGGATTCACGGGGGATAGCATAGACGCCGAAGGCGTCATCACCCTCGTAGTTGAATTCGGCGACGGGTCCCATAGAGCCAAGCTCGAAGTGGAATTCGTCGTCGTCAACCTCGACTGCGCGCACAACATCATCCTCGGCCGGCCTACCCTCGAGGACTTAGAAGCCGTCATCTCCATGAGACACCTCTGCCTCAAATTCCCCACACCCACCGGCATCGGCTATTCGAGGGGGAATCAGAAACTCTCCAGGGCCTGCTACCTTCAACTTACCAAGAAGGTTAGTAAAACTGAGTTTCGAGTTGACACCATCACCACCAGGGCCTTGGAGGAGGAAGAAGGTAGGCCGAGGGCTGAGCCCGCCGAGGAGACCGAAGACTTGATACTCGATCCGGCCAAGCCGGAAAGAGTCCTGAAGATTGGAGCCAAGCTCCCCGAAGACTTGAAGGCTGACATCACCAAAACCCTCCGCGCCTACTCCATTGTTTTTGCATGGGGGCCGGAGGACATGCCAGGAATTGACCGAAGGGTTATCACCCACCGCCTGGCGGTGGACCCTTCGGCCAAACCGGTACAGCAGCGGAGGAGACCCCTCTCGGCCGAGAGAAGGGAGTTCGTGAAAAAGGAGGTATCTATGCTCCTCTCCATCAAACACATTAAGGAGGTGAAATACCCTTCTTGGTTGGCAAACGTAGTCCTCGCACAGAAGCCCCCTACCTTCCGTATGTGCGTGGACTACACGGATCTGAATAAGGCATGCCCCATGGACCCCTTCCCACTGCCAAACATTGATCAACTGTTAGATGAGACCGCGGGATGTGAAATCATGTCATTCCTCGACGCATTCCGCGGATATCATCAAATCTACATGCATGAGGAGGACGCTGAAAAAACTGCATTCATGACACCCGAAGGCATCTTCTGCTACCTAGTGATGGCCTTCGGCCTAAAAAATTCAGGCGCTACCTACACCCGAATGGTGGCCAGGGTTTTTCAAGCCGTCCTAGGGCGCACCATGGAGGCTTACGTTGATGACATGATCGTCAAAAGCAAGAAGGCAAGCACTCACGCCGACGACCTCCGGGAAATCTTTGCCATCATGCAAAAATTCAATCTCCGGCTAAATCCGAAGAAATGCACCTTCGGCGTACAAGGAGGGAAGTTCTTAGGCTACATGGTCAGCCGAAGGGGTATTGAGGCCAACCTCGAGAAGATTCAGGCCATCATCAACATGGAGCCTCCACGCA